ATATGGAGCGTTAAAAAATTGTTAAGTGACTTGACTGATGAAAGATCGTATCGTTAAATGAAATAGAAAAACATTACACACACACACACACACACACACACACACACACACACACACACACACACACACACACACACACACACACACACACACACACACACACACACACACACACACACACACACACACACACACACACACACACATATATATATATATATATATACATATATATATATATATATATATATATATATATATATATATATAGGATGAGAATTTTTCCGACCTGCTCCAGGAAATTCTCACCATTCTTATACTCATGTATAATACTTTTAGATTCAGGTCGACTCACTAATATATATAATTGTGTATACGTGCATTTTTTTTTATCAATATATTCAATATATATTTTTTATGTATGTATGTAATTATTCAAGGTATATGTGTGCATATATAGAATAATTTAGTTAGTAAACAATTTTAACTCATACGCATGATTTTATTCTACATATATGGTTTTAACGACTGACACATCTTTTGTGTCATTATTTCTCTATGCTGCGGTGTAAAAGCAATCAAGGTAAACAGGATTCGTTTTATTTTTTTTTCGCTGTTCGTCTCACTTTTTAGATGATTAGCCAAAAAAGTTCTTTCACGGGGAGGAAAATTATCAGAAGTCGTTTCAATATAATCGAACTCAATTGAACGCTACCACTATCGGCATGGAACCAATCCTTAAGGGCTGGTTAACTAAATCTCCCCCTGAAAAGAAAAAGTCTTCAGGACACTGGAATCTGTTTGGCGCGGTTAGTTAGTTGCATTTAATTAAAATTATGATTTAGTCTTCCTTCTTAAAAAATGCACTTGTCCGTAGCACAGCAAATGGTTACTTTAAAAATAAAATATCTATGTGCTCTGTGCACGAATGATGGAAAATTGTTGGAAACAATGTTATTTTTGTTAAGGATCAAATAATAATAATTTCGTCATAATCACTCCTGAGAGTGTGAATATCTGGGAAACGTAATTTATTTTAAAATTCAAATTTGTTCAGTTCAACTTTTAAATAGTATCAAAAAGTAAGAATTTCATTAGTAGAAGGTATCAGAATTGTGAAATTTGAATTTTCATGGGGTCCAAATGTGTGAATGCAAATAATTTAATAGTTCTTAATTTAATTGGTAATAGTTTTATAAATCTGAAATTGAGCTAATGAAATCAAATGTTCAACAAGTGTACTCAGAAACATTTTTTAGCTTGACTTACTGAAATATTAAGATTTTTATATTCATTATTTTTTAACTTAGATGGTATAAACTTTGGCATTAAAAAAATAGAATTATAATCTTCATTAATTACTTAATGACATATTTAGAAATGGAAACGAAGATTCTTTGTGTTGTATGCACCACCAATGGCTTTAGGTATTGTTGAATCTAGAGGGGCCATGCTGGAATATTACTCCAGCAAGAAACTAAACACCAAAGTTGGTATAATAAACTTAGAAGACTGTGATGAAGTGCTTTCCAATCTTGATTCTGATACGTACAAAAACGTTTTTAGTCTTCATACAAAGCACAAAGGTAAAGAACGGACTTATTATTTAGTGGCTGACACTGAAGAAGAGATGAACAACTGGGTTGATCAACTCTGTAGAGTGTTGGGTCTACTTGAAAATGGTTTCATTTAATATTTTTATTTGATAATATTTGACTATGAAGTTTAATAATTGCCATCAACTACAAATCTAAAACTTTACAGATGAGAGCAAATTGAATTTTTCTCCAGAAGGTAGGCAGTATAAGCCATATACAACAACAACTCCAAAACCTATTCCGAATTTTCAATCTCATCCTAGCCGTATTATTTCTCAAGGATCCTCTGTTCCTAATTCAGCGTTAGGATCTCGTTTAAATTCGTCTGAACCTAATTTACTTAACCAAGGAATATTTTCAATGGGTCAACGACCCTTATCCAATATGCCACAAATGACCAATTATCATAATGATGATTGCTTAAATTTGGATCTTAGCAATAAAAAATTGAAAGCCACATCAAGTTTTCCTGATATTGATGTTTTGCCAACAGAAGATATGTCCCTGTTTTTAGCTTCTACTATTAAACCAAGAGAAAAGACAGAATTGCCTCCAATTCCTCCTGACAAAACTCGCAAGTCCTTAGAATGTTTAAATTTTTTTAGGGATGATAATGCAGCAATGTCAAATTTAAAAATAACTGATGGAGATACAAGTTTTATGGGTCCTCCCCCACCAAAACCTCCAAAAGAAAAGAAAAGTGCAATCAAGGTAGATGAAGCTGGTTTATCTTTACTTTCAAAGGCAACCAATTTAGATGAAACTGATAATACAAAGCTTAATTTTACTTCAGGAAAAAATTATGACATTCCTAAAGAATTAAGTTATGATTCACCAGCAAACATGAAAAGTTTCAGCAGTATTGACGAGGATGAGGATGAAGATGATGAAATTGTTTACAATACTCCTAAATCTTTTTTCACTGATAATAAACAGCAAAATCAAACTCTCCAAAATGAACAACACCATCCAGTGCAGCAGCAGCAGCAGCATGAACAAGTTATGAAAGAACCACCTCGACCAGCATCTAGAAAGAGCATCATCAACAGAAATCATAAACCTTTGAACAGTTCAAGCATTCAAACCAATCATAATGTAGATAGTTTTTATGAAGCTCCAAAAAAACAGGCCTCCATAGTTACTAGTGTTAATGATGATTTCTATAATGTTCCAAAACCTAATGCCGGCAATGATTTTTATGATGTTCCCCAGAAGCACTATACCTCCGAGCAGCACACAAAGCCTGATACACTACCCTACTCTGCTGAAATCCTTGATGCAGTCAATTCCTCTAAAGAAACAACATCCTGCACACTTTCAACACCATCAACGACTTCATCATCTGCCTGTCCACCCGTGTTCAAACCTGTTCCTGCAAGAAGAACAAAATTATCACCCGGTAATCCAAAACAAGAAGGTTTGCTCAATATGCTCTTTGAAATGATGTTAGTAATGAAATATTTTATTAATGCATAGATGAAGCGTCTACGAAAGTGACTAAACAAGAATCTTTGAAACCGTCCATTCCTTTGAAGCCTTCTACATCAAAGAAGGGATCATCCAAGCAAGCAATTGACCAGTCAGCTCAGTCAACAGCACCTTCATCAGAAACGTCGCCAGTTTCAACGGCTCCGTCATCAACAACTGTGCAGTCCTTACATTCCACAACGCAACCACATACTACATTGAAAATCTTTGCACCCACTCAACCTACAAACAGTACAAGTCCCAAAAAAGGTCCAACTACAACTCTCATCCACGAATCCATTCGATTTACTCAAAGGTCCAAAAGCTTTAAGAGAAGTGTTACTGGGTAAGTCCATACTTATTCTGTTTTTCATAAACATTATTTTCATCAATTTTAAATGTTACATCATGTTTGAAGATCACCACACACTGCTTAGCAATGATTGCAGGTTTACTCCACTGACTGCATGCTTACTTTCATACTTTCTCCAAATCCATTAATACATTTCATCCAAATCATTGTTAAAATGTTTCTTAGTTTTGATTTTTATGCCACAGATTTACCAGCCTTAAGTTTTTAAAGCAAACCCTTTTAAAACTTGTAATTGAAACAGTAGTAGCAATAGACAAAGTTTTTATCTATATTACTATTATCAAAGACACTGCTTCTCAAAATTTTCTTGGGTTGAATGTTTTCAAACAAACTTGGCGTAAACTTTTTTCAGAATCATTGTTCATAGTTGAGCCTGTTATCCAGCACATCTTTCTAGCAATGTTCTTCACTCGAGCAATGTTCTAATACTTTCATCCCATCTTCATTGATCGCAGGAAGGACTTGGTTGCTTGGTGCAGCTGTAAAATATTAAAACTATTAATATTTAAAACTGTTAATGAAGTTTCCGCTGACATTTTGAAGCAAGAGACTTAATTTTTTACTATTAGAGTGACTGATCTATAATGTTATTTTGATTGATGCGGTTAACGTGGATGATTGGTGATTGGTTGATGATGTTGAATGATTTGCTTTGATGCAAATAATTTTGAAAGGATTTGAGTTATTGTAAAATTTTTGTTAGCGCAAAAAATGAAGTAGAAAATTTTTGCTGTTAAAATGATCCAATGAAGCAATTGAAGGAAATTGAAATTTTGAAAAATCTGCTTCCAATGTCAAATCGCTCATTTTCTAAATGTGCTAAGTTAAGGAAATTTTGATCTCTAGATAATTTTAAACGTTTTTTGCTTGAAAATTATCAACATGTTGCTCAGTTGTTAGATTTTTGTTTCTAGAAACACAAAATTCTCGGCGGTCGCACATTATTTTTAGCCATCGAGCAATAAAGTTGATATCAAGTTTTAACGAAATATTTTTTCAAACTGTTTTAATTGTTCCAAAAATTTTTATTCATCGTTATTATGTATATAATTTTTATTAAAATTTTTTACTACTTTCTGTGTGGTGGCATGCATAAGCCACTAGGCCATCGTTTGGACGTGATTAACAGAGAATGAAAGAGTGACCCTGCAACGCTCGCAAAAATCCGTAGAAATGAAATTTGTTAAATCAGCTTTACTATTATGCGATGTGAAAGTCCTATATTAGGCTGCCTGTCAGTATACGTGAATCATCTTACTCTTCTGTTTAACGGCTTAGGACTTTGAGACAACTTTGGACCTTCGTAAGGTTAATGATGACGACCACTTATGTGTACAACACATATATAATCAAGATAAATGGTACAACATATTTGTGGCTTAATTATTTAAAAAAAAAACTTGAAATGATCATTTGAAATAATTTTCAAATTGACAACTTATTGATGCAGATAGAACTGCACAAAATCGTAATGCATATTTTGTTTTACGTCTCAATAGAAAGTTTTTTTTGAAACCTTTCGAGATTTTTATTCTGCACGAATGTTCATTCTTAAAAAACTTTAAACTTTTTTTCTAATTAAATGTTCTTTTTCCATCATGCTTAATATTGAAATGTGGCAAAATAATACGTATTCATTATTTATGATCTTTTTTGTGAAGCGTTCTTCCGCCCCTCGATTATTTAAAAAAATTTAGCTATGGGGTACTGGTACATGAGAGATTTCGTTTTAGATGAAGTTTGATTATTTTAAATACACAATGCCATCAAACAGGAGTGGTACTAATTGCTCACTGATTGGACGCAACATAAATGGATTTGAATGACCTTTCACCAACATTCGGTCGAAATTTAGAATATTGCAACTTCCGTTTTAGACATTATATTTTTTGCTTCTAGAGCATGAATTTATTTGAGACACGATAGCGGTCAGAACATCTGAAATTGAGCTAGAGATTGATGTTATCTGGTTAGAAATGGATCGCTTACAGTTTTGTCATTAGCTTGTTTGTCATTCTAAAAATAAATTTTTCTTTTGAAATTTTGAATGTTTTGATATTCGGGCGAATGGTGGAGACACTATTCGGCACATCACTACTGAAGATTGAGTTGCTTCATCTTTCTCTAAAAATGAAGAAACCGATGATCGCCAATAACTGCTTTGCGAAAAATAATTTTTGTGTTATGTTATCAACATTTTCGTTAATTTAATCTTGCTTGACTGATTTATTTTTCATTGCAGCCACGATGTAATGCCTACCCACCTGCCAGTGAAGAAGTTGGACAAATGCTCATCATCATCTGATGACATTGTCAGTGATGAGGACTGAAAATGGTGGGCAGCTTCTTACTCATCATGTTTCAATGTTGGGCTATGAACTAAACGTTAACCTGACATCATGATGATGAAGACGATAATTTTATTAAATAAAATAATGGATTAGCGTAACAAAAATAATTTTTCGTCTATCTATATACACCAGACTGAATACTGAAATTAAGTTTTTATTATTTAAAAAAATTCATCCGTATTTTCTTTTTGAAGTAATTTGAAGTAATTTTATTATAGTGAGTTCGATTTTTGCATGATATAGTCCGGTGCAGTTAAAAAATTTTAAGGCCATAACGACAAAATGTTTAAAGCGAACTATGGAATAAAAAGAAAGCTAATTGTTTTAGACAAATGCCAGGGACCTGATGACGACGACGACGATGATAATTATTTTCCTGAAAAGTTTTCAAATGTCTTTTATAAAATTAGTTTTATGTTAATTGCAAGTTATCATGCTGTGGTCAACAATGTTTGTTACAATCTTATTCACTGCAGTGCGGCTTATTATCGCCATCACTTACGTCGACGGACTTTCGTTCTCTAATTCTGTTTCAGCAGAGTCTTGCGAACATTACTTTATTGTCCAACTTTTCTATTTTTTTTAGTTCATGATTTTGTTTTTCATGCAACTCTTCATCGAGTTATAATTATAAACGCTTCTTGATTAAGCGTTATATAATAATAATTATTATTATTAAGTTTTAATAATTTTTTTGATATAATGGTAATATAATGATAACACAAACTTATTTGCTAATAACGCTGCTGATGCTGATAAAGACGAGACGTTATTGATTTATTGCCAGAAACAATTGTATTGTGCTTATCTGATTGATACGGTTATCACATGACATCATCAGTATTGCATCATCAGATCAATATTTCTCCAACAAAAGGCATACACTATGTCTCCTTCATTCGTTCGTTCATTCATTCGTTCCTTCATTCATCCATTTCAATCAATCACTCTAATTTATTGTACTTCGACAAAATATTTAATGTGTACTCGTTCATTCAATTATGAACTGATGATGTCCTCTCTGCCTTCTTTTATTCACTTTTTTATTACGGAATTCACTTTTTATTACTCTTATAAACGGTTATATATATATATACACATACTTTATATTGATATATATATATATATATATATATATATATATATATATATGTACACATACTTTATATGTGTATAATATAATAGATAAATCAATAAATAAACACACACACACACACACACATATATATATATATATATATATATATATATATATATATATATATATATATATGTGTGTGTGTGTGAGTGTGTGTGCATGTGTGTGTGTGTGTGTACATAATATATATAAAAATATACAAGTGTTTTTATGTGATGCGATGGTGGCAATGATGATATATTTTATATTTGTATGTTTGTCCACATAATTTATTGTCATAAATTTTATATTGAAATATAATACCTTCAAGAAGTATTTAATACATTTGTATTGTACAGTTGCCGTTAACACTGAATTATTTTATTATAAGCCCAACACGATAATGAAGACTTATAATTTTTGTGCAAGAGGCGTTAAAAGTACCTACATATTTTCAACTTAATAAAGATTATTATGTATTGCATTTTGTATACGTGATTTGTTGTAATATTTTTATAGTTTATTTTATAGCAATAAAAAACTATTGCTGATATTGCTAACAGTCCTGACACTAACATAAAATATTTCTTGATAAGATCAAATATATCTACAGTGAAAACACACGTCCTTGTAATCAGCTTCGGCATAAGATTAAACATTACTTGCTGCTCGAATGTACGCTGCATGTATCAGTTATAAGTATTTTATTATTAAATATACCTGGAATTATTTGATATCAATAAAATATATTTCACGAAGGTCCGCCATTAAAATGTGCATGGAATTCATGGGGTGCCGTCATTACTGACCTGGCATTCGATGCATACTAATGAGTCTGCCCTGCTCTGCTCCCTCCTTACTCAATGTGGCCTCGTGTGGCGTCTTTCATTTGTCCCTACTGCTTTTATATTATGTGATTAAATCATCTTGTAGGAAGGTTAAACGGCTCTAGAAAATGAAGATTTAAATGAAGAGGAGGAGCGCACTAGGGGTTTGTTGGAATTTCGTTAAACCTTAAGCATCACCATTGTAAAAACAATGTTGTTGCAGTAGTTGTCGGCTGTTACATGAATGTTGTTGCAATAATTTTCTGTTGTTACATGAATGTTGTTGTAGTCGGGGCCAACTGTCACATGAATGTTATTGCGGAAATTGTCAGCAGTTACATTAATGTTGTTATGCATGTAATCCGACTGAACTATCGCCCATCATCGTCGAATCACGTCAGAAAGATTTAATCTGACGCAACTTAATTTTATTCATGTCATAAACTCAGCAGGATGATCAGTCTGTATGTGTTTGGCCTACGCGATATGTGGAAATCGAAGAAAAATTAATGAAGAAATTCACATTTCGTTCGTATTTAATTGGTTAAAAGTTTTTTAAAAGATGAAAATATTTCGATGACCGGATGTTAAGTTGCTGAGATGTTGAAATGCCGAATTTGATGTTGATTGCAGTGTCAAGAATGAACTAAACTTATGCCGAAAAGAATTTATAAATGCATATATGCAATCATCAAAACTAAAACTTCATAAAAAACTGACCAACCTGATAACTAAATGAAACAACATTATTATGAAAGATAGATTCATCAATCTTAGCCACCACATCCTTACAGGCAAGCAAGAATTCGGAAAATGAGTTTATTTTGAATTTTAATAAACTAAACGTTCACCAAAAAACTTTATTGAGAAAAATCGAAAAAACGAACTACAACATGTAACGCCAACATTCGGTAGAATTTATAGAATATTGTAAAAATTGTTAGACCATAATTTTTACAATGTTCTATAAATTCTACTATAAATTAAATATATATATATATATATATATATATATATATATATATATATATATATATATATATATATATATAAATGAATAGTAAATAAATACAAGCAGCACAATGCATCATCAGGCTTAGTTCGAAGCGCTGAATAAGATGAGCCTGACATAAATTGTAAGGCAAATAGCCGGAATTGTAAAATGAATAAGTTAAGATCCTTTCGTACGTTTACGCTATTCTAATAAACTCAAAACATTTTTTATGGACACGCACACACACACAAACCACACTACACAAACACACACATACAAACCACACTACACACACACAAACACACACACAGAAACAGTAGTGGATCTAGACAAGTTTAACGGGGGAGCCAAGATTTTTCAGAAAAATTTTCAAGTAATGAAAGTTTATGACGGGGGAGGGAGATTTTGTTTCCATCCATTTTCAAAGGGGAAGTCAACATATCTGGTTATGTAGTCAACATTTTACTTACAATTTTTTTGGGCTTATATTGTTCGTTATAACTTTCCTTCAAAACATTACTGCCCCACCCCAGATTCGCCACTGCACACACACACACACACACACCCGTCAAACACACACACACACACACACCTGACACACACATAGTCCGATAAACACATATTAGATATATATATATATATATATATATATATATATATATATATATATTTGTACGACTGTTTATCACTAAAATTTAAAACTATTCTTTCACTTTTCTAAACTGAATATCATAGAAATGTTAACTGACTGCAAGTTATTTTCATTAAACTTAAAAAGAATAGAGTTGTGTTTGCTTGAGTGTTTGTCGGTATGTCATTCACCCACGCATCAATTTATCCATCCGTCCGTCTATCCATCCATCCATCTATCCATCCATCCATCCATCCACCCACCCACCCACCCATCCATCCATCCATCCATCCATCCATCCATCCATCCATCCATCCATCCATTCTGGCGGCCAGATTAATCTCAAACAAACATCCGACCCCACCCAACTAAGAATTCGTTAATCAATTATTATCACTAGAATATTCCATTCAATTGTAGATCTATTGAAAATTTATTTTCCGACTCATGTTCGTGATTTACTTGCTGGTCAGTCACCTTCCCTTCCTTCCTGCTTGCATTAGTCCTGCTTACATTTGTTTGTTCGTCCAACTCTTACTTAACATCTATACATCCTACTCGCTTGACGTATGAGTTTGTACGGCAGTTGTTGCTCTTCAGTTGTCTTTCATGTCTTGCTCTTTGCAACTGTCCTTACAACTACTGGTCACGTGACGTAGCAGTGCTGCCGATGAGATGATGTTGTTGATGGTGAAGTGATGTTGTTGTTGATGAGGTGATGTTGTTGACGCGTTAAATAAGTAACTAACATATTAATAAACATAAAGTGTATTCGTTAATTCAATAATTTGAATTCTGAAAATGAATTGATGATTTCTTTTCTGACATTTGAATTATGATGATAATGATGATGATGAGGATGATGATGATGACGAAAAGGATGATGATGATGATGAGAAAAAGGATGATGATGATGATAATGTTGTTGATGGAGTGAGGTTTCGAGGTCGGTCCTTGCAGCTGGGCAGTTTGTTTGTTTACTGGTTCACGGGAGCAGAGGATGTTGATGTGAGATCATATCTGTTATTGATTGGCATTCATCATTACAAACATCTTCATCGGTGCTGCTCGCTTCTTCGGCACATACAACTTCGCAACATCACATCAACACATTATATAACAACAACACAACATCACAACAACACATCAACACAACATCACAACAACGCAACATCACAACCACACAACATCACAACACAACAATATATATATATATATATATATATATATATATATATAAAATAAAACAAACAATGTTTGCGTATAGATATATCAAAAATAATTATAATAAAATAAATGTGTAGATAATACTTATAATAATTTATTAAATAAGCAGTTCAAAGAATTATTAAAGCCTGAGAAGTTGCAAGCACGATCCACCAAACAAATCATCAACAGAAACAACAGCAGCAAGAACGACAACAACTACCAACCACCACCACCACAACAACAACACCACCACAACAACAACAACAATAACAATAACAACGAGAGCAGAACATTCGTAACAATAATGAACTAAATGGTTAAAAATAAAAGTAATAATCATAATATATGGTGATTAAGCACAGTGGCATAAAGATGATTTGGGGCCAGCGGTTTATCATTAAGGCAGTAATGGTCTTCTCCATCTAGAAAATTTATGGCGATGATGACGATGAATAAAAAATTGATGATGACGATGACGAAAGTGATGGGAAAGTTTTATTAAACTGCTAGTGATGTGATTGAAAATATTTTCATATGATGTTCTGCAGAGAAATTTATAGCGATGATTAGTTGCATCTAATTGCTGTGCGTGATACCAAGATAGGCGGAAAAATCTGACAAAAAAGAACAATAGCAATTGCAACTTTCTAACAAATACAGCTGAGCAACTTGATTGCTGATGGCATTCTAATGTTAAAACATTGAAACGTCATCATCTCTGACGTTTTAATTATCCTTTATATGGTAATTGCCTACTGATGTGAAACAATGAATTGAGTGCTTCTTCTGCTGCTGCACGTTCGGCGTGTTGTTTCGCTGAGGACCATCTTCATGCTCCCTTCAATATTTGTCGCTTGTTTTGTTATTTCATCGTTGTAAGAATTTATTTCGTAATTTATTGGCTGCATCGTTATAAAATTGTTTCTACTGTTCGGCACTGCTAGATTTTCAACATTTTGTTTATTCCACTCAGTTGGATCTTTGAGGATTTTTAATAAAAATTTCATCGTCGTCCGTATCATATTTCCAAATAATATTCATCTGGGCAAACATTGTGTTGCTCGAGCACTAATCACGTTCGTCAATGCTGATGCGGTTGCTACTGAGACGAGCCTTGTGATCAGAAGAGCGCTGATGTTCAAATCAGCAGGCAACCTCAAGTTTTGTTATCCAGCAATTATTTTTGTTATTTCAACTGACTGTCGTGCCTTTGATGTTGTTGTTTATGACGACCCGACCAACCCCGCTGCGAGAGCAAGGTCATTTGTAATGTTGTTGTTGTTGTTGCTATTGTTTTTGTTGTTGTTGCTATTGTTTTTGTTGTTGTTGTTGTCGTTGTTGTTGCTGTTCTTCTTTTTCTTGCAATACATTCATCTCATCATGCAACTAACAAGTTGATGTTTTCAAGATAATGATACAAATGGTTTTTCATGAGGTATTGAAACAACTTAGCGAATGATTTTTTTTCTAATGTTATAAAACGACATATTTAAGAACCCCATCAAAATAAGTACAAATGTTTTACAATGCTGATAAAATGAAAAAAATTTAAATAAACTCTTTTGCCGACTTCAAATTTTTACTGTTTCTGATGCGAAGACGAATTTTTTTTGTTGACGTTTGAACCAGAGTAAAATTTTTTGAAACTTCTTCTGTTCAAGTCGGAGTAAATGTCAACAATCGTTTGACTGGCATCATCATCTTTGTTTTTTGTAATGTTCAGTTCGGCATCGTCATTCTCCTGGCTGGCCGAAGAAAAATTTTCAAACATTCTCGAAAGTGATTTGATTTTTGACTGATGGGGAGGTTTTCGATGCTTTAATAAATGATGTTCCGTTGGTTGATGGTGTTGTTGTTGTTCTAGCTTCTGAGGTTGAGGATGAGGTTGATGGCGATGATGTTGATGCAGCGTTTGTTGCTGCAATAATGCAGTTTGTTGCGGCGATTGCGAGTTCATAGTTAATGATGCAAATTTTATTGAAGCGATTTTGTCCTTTTCATCTAATTCCGATTGTATTCCTGTTTTTGAGTTGAATGTTGAATGATGTGATGAAGTTGTTGTTGTTGTTAATGTTTTTAATGTTGTTGTTGTTGATAACGTGTTTGTTGATGATGTTTTTGCCAGGGTTGTTGTTGATAATGTGGTTGTTGTTGATGTTTTTAATGCGGTTGTTGTTGTAGGTGAACTTTTTGAAACAACAGTTGTTAAATGTTTTGACATGGTGAGTACTTGTGCTGCTGACAATGTTGCCGATCCGCTGGTCGTTGGGAGATCATCAGTTGATGACCTGCTTACCTTGGCTCTCTTTGAAACATACGATCCTAGCGAGGGGTCGGGAACTAGTGTTTTATTGCTCTGGCTGCACTTTCTCTCACAATGGCTATTTTGGTTTACGTCTATATCGTTACTTTTCTTTCTGTTTGTATCTTCAACCAATTTGTTATTTTCTGCATTGAACTCAAGACTTTGAATCATTTTTTCTTCCCTGTTATCTGATGAAACGCCACCATTTTTGACACTGGCTTGATTTGAGTTTGCCTTAAGTTTCGAAGAAGATTTCACGAACTTAGATGCATCAATGGGTGCATCGCAAGCTGTTGGTGGAGGTGGAACAGGCAAACAAGTGCTTCTGAGTTTGTTTGGATCATTTGCAAGAGAAGTTTTCATTTCAGGAATTTTAAGATGTACTATGACAGAGTCTCTTTTCGGTTCGATTTTGGTGGCAGATAATGATTGCCAGGTTTCATTGTTCGTTTTGACGTTTTTTATAGTACTTTTGTTTAATAAAGCAGCAGCATTAAGAGCTTCCAGAGTGTTTCCAATGCAGTTAACATCAGTTGCTATTGTTTCAGATTTTTTCGTTCTCATTGATTTGTTATATGTTCTAGATTCTTGAGCAAAAGATATATCTAGAGGAGATATAGGTGAAAGAATAAGACGTGGAATTTTCAAGAAACTGTTGTTATTAATGTTAGCGTTGAAGTCACTTGCTTCCAATAAATTCTCGCTACTGGTGCTCATATCGGCACTAAAGTTGAAATCCGGGGAAGAGGTGAAAGACGTGCAGTCGGCGGTTCTCGGCAGCGTCTGCGCAACTCGCTTCCTGTATGAATAATCAGCTGCAGCGTAATCGGCGTTGTTTTCTTCGTTGACGCTGATTGACGAGTCTATGAATTTGAATCTGTTCGTTTGTTGGAAGTGTTTGATACGGCTCGCGTGTTCCTGGATGTGGTCGAGTTTGCGTTTGATGCGCTGGTCGGATGTATTTAAAACCATCTGTTAATGAAAATATTTAATGATTTATAAAAGAAATCATAAGCGGCTTACAAGAAGCATTTTTATGCAACTTATAAAATATTCAATTTGTTCATTTGAACATTCTCCACCCAATTGCATCCGTCAAATTTTAAAATTAAAGGAATGGTTTTTTGTATTTAAAGACTTTCAAAAATTTAAAGTTATAAATTTTATTTTTTGTTTAAAATCAACTTGCAAATGCTGGTTAAAAACAAGATGCACTCATAAAATAAAAATTTGATTTCACAAAACTCTTTGGGGAGGCAAGACCTGTTAGCATAATTTGATAATGACCACGCAGCATGTAATGTTGAGAATAATAATACAAATGTTATTATACCAATAATATTATTAAAACAACAACAACAACGACAACAATTACTACTACTACTACTACTACTATTACTACTACTACTACTAATACTACTACTACTAATACTACTACTACTACTACTACTACTACTACTACTACTACTACTACTACTACTACCGTACATCACTACTATGACCACTACTCTACTACAACAACTGCTGCTGCTGCTACTACTACTACAACAACTGCTGATGCTACTACTACTACAACAACAACAACTACTACTACTACAACTACAACCACCACTACTACTACCAACAGCAGCAACAACAAACAACAATAATAATAATAACGATATTGTTAATGATGATAATAACAATAATAAATTTCATTCTTGGTATTCGTATTTCCGATTCAATTAAGCTTCAGATGTACCAGATGATTATGTACTTGTATGTACTTTTATTAATGCAGAAATATCATCAGAATGCAGACTTTAGTCACATAATAATATTATTGCAGCATACACACTTACTGAATATGTATGTATGCATGTGTGTGTGTGTGTGTGTATATATATATATATATATATATATATATATATATATATATATATATATTTCAAAAATTCAACACTACTTTCAACATTGTTCAACTTTTTTATATTTCTTTTTAATTTATTAATTTCAAAGAAATTAGACATTTGAAATGTTGCGTTAACAACAGTCTGTTACCAATATATATATATATATATATATATATATATATATATATATATATATATATATATATATAATTACAAAAATGTATCTAGGTTCGACACCATTACCATCATCATAAATCATCTTGAGACTTAATTATACTTGCCAACAGTAATAACCGAGAGTAATTATAACATTAGGGGAAGTTGTAACGGCATTTAAAAGAGTGTCTGACAATGCAGTGACACATGGATGTGCCTTTCTTGCCGGCGACCGTGGTGGAATAATTTGAAGCAACAAGCGACTGCACATCGATCAAGTCATTGTTAGCAAAGGCACCAATGACATTAACGCAGCAGTGGATGTGAGCGCTGACATCAATTCAACAGTACGACCGTATCAATAATAATTTTGCTCGGTCCAGTAGGATTATGGCTGGAATCGATTTGTTAGAATTAGTTCTATAGAGGCTGAGAGCAAATTCGTACTCAACTGATTAATAATTAAGCTGATGGATGGACGAAGGAATGGATGGATTGGTGAATGAATAAATGAACGAATAAATGGGTGAATGAATAAATGATTGAATCAATCAATGAACCAATGAATAAAATAATATAAAAACAGAAAGTTGTGGAGAGAAGTGCGAAGCGGTAAAATATATTTAAATTCATATCATAAATTGTTTCTGCCGCAATAATTGTCATATATTAACCTTATAACAGTGCTTATCAACTCATCATTAACAGAAATCGGCCAGGATTGGCAAATTGATGGGATTTATACTGATTTTGAGAAGGCTTTTGATAAGGTACCTCACATTAGTTTGATTAAGAAACTTTCTGATTACGGTGTGATTAGGCATATTGTTGAATGGGTTTTGGATTATTTTAAGAATAGTACTTTTGCGGTAAGGGTGAATGAAAGCATATCTGATCGTTTTAAAGTGGATAGTGGGGTTCCACAGAAAAGTGTTCAGGGTCCTGTGATATTTGTTATTTATGTGAAAGATATTTTTGATATTTGTAGATTGGATTCAGTGATTGGCCTACATATGTATGTTGATGATGCTGAGATATTTAAACATGTTCGTTCATGTAATGAGGATAGGATGGTTCTACAAGCTTGTTTGAATGATTCAAATGAATGGAGTGTGAAATGGGAACTGAAAATGAATGTTGATAAATGTATCTCTATGTATTTTGGACAAGCAAATGATTTTGTTAGATTTTGTATAAAATCAACGGTTTTGCTATGGATAAAGTAAATGTTGTTAAAGATTTAGGTGTCTTGTTTGAATGTGATATAAAATTTTATAATTATATTTATGCAACTATAAATAAATGCAACCCTATTTTAGGCTTGATTAATAGACACTTTTAAAGTTATCTAAAAATTCTTTTGCTACACTTTATAAATCTTTAGTCGGGCCAAAGAGAGACTATGCGGCGTGTGTACGGTCCCCTTGGTTTAAAGAATGACTAGTGACCTATAGAAGACATCGAACGTGTTCAGAAGAGGGCTGCTAAGATGGTTGAGGATTGCTGTGAAATAAAATAAGAACAGCGATTGAGACTTCTCTCTCTACTTACACTTAGGTACAGACGTCTCAGAGTGACCTCATTTTAGTTTACAACATAACAAGAGATTGGGATCATTCTGCCTGCTTTTCGCTACTGAAGAGACCAAACGACGAATGAACATGGTGCATCCATTTAAGTCGCCTATTCATAATTTTAAAACGAATCATGGAAAATTTAAATTCTGAAACAGAGTGGCGGGTACATGGAATAGTTTGTGTGCTGATGGCCGGTGATGTTAATTTGATTAAGGCTCGTTTGGTAGACATATGTTTGATAAAGATATAATGTTTGACTGGGGGCGTTTTTGACATTTTTCATTTGTTTTGTTGTTCACATGAATTAACTTGCATGTGTAAATTTTGTATGCTCTCATGTATATATGTACGTAAACTTATTTTTACTTTTTTCATATACGTTTGTGTGTGTGCATGTATGTATGCGTGTATATAAGCATATATCTGTATGTGTTGGTAAAAGACCATAATTTTTACAATATTCTATAAATTCTATCGAACGTTTGGCGTTAATATGTTTGTAGTTTGTTTTTTATACATTAAAATAACAGCAATTAGTGAGACAAATCTAAAAAACGAACTACAAACATATTAACGCCAAACATTTGGTAGAATTTATAGAATATTGTAAATATCTGTATGTGGGCATATATTTATAAGTGTGAATATGTATATATCTGTATCTAGAAAGTCGTGAACTAATTGACTAATTAGTTAATTCTTTTATATGTACTCATTTGTGTTCGTATTTCTATAGTTATACAAATATAATTTTATTTATTTGCCGTTATTTTAATGAGTTTATTTTTATGTAGTTTATTAATTTATTATTATTATTATTTTTGACATTACTATTACTCTTTCAATTTGTGGTTTATAATTTGTTGGAGGCATATGAACGACAATTTCGCGCCTCCTCATAACTTTCTAACATAAACTTAAACAACAACAACAACATAAACATTAATCCTAAATAGCATAAACACCAGCATAAACAACGACATAAAACAAAAACATAAACAACAATAAGAAAATTTGGTCTTGCGATATGAAGACTACAGAAGGCAGAAATGTGAAAAGCAGAAGTTGCAAGAAGAAAGGGAATTAGGAGGGAAGGAAGAGAGGGAGGGAGGAGTAATAACTCGGAGGCATGAAGCATTATGAAAATTGTTAGCCAGCAGCACCGGAGCGTATGTAGTGCGCTGAATTATGCTGCCTGCCCTGTCCGTGCTACACGTGCAGCCGTATTAATGGTCAGCGAGCGATGATGATGATCACCATATTATCGTCATCATCATCATCACCAACGCCACCGTCATCATCATCATCGTCGTCGTAGTAATTATACTGATAGTGATAATAATTAACTGTGATTACGAAAAGATTCATCATCATGTCGATAGAAATGATGACAGTGGTGAAAGTGGTTAAAGTGATGTTAATTATAGTGATGACGGACAGCATTGGGAGTAGCGAGTAGTAGCGAGTGGATGATGGCGATGCCGATAGTGTGCATGTAGCAAGAAAGGAAGTTAAAGTGAGGAAACTGAATCAACATAAGCGACACAATAGGAAGAATACTAATTACAAAACAGCACAGCGAATCATCAACTCCACTCATGAACAAATTTCAAAAGAAGATGAATATGATGATGCTGGAAAAGGAAGATGATTGTACCAGAGACAGTTGTTATCGTGACAACCATAGAAATTGAGTTCCATATTTTCTTAATTTGTTTCATACATACACACACGCACGCACGCACGCACACACACACGCACACATCTAAACACACGCACACACACGTGCCATCGATTGACGACACGCTCGCACAGCCACCGCACGCGCATGCCGACATAATGTGAACGAACCAAAACTTTCATCTGGATTAGTTATACGGCAAAAATATGTTTTTAAATTATTGATACTCTCAAAAGGAAATGAAATTTTTTTGTGCTGCAGCGTTTGTTCCTCTTCTTCAGTGCAGTAACCAACTTTATTCCCTTCATTCGTCATCAACTTAATCTGTTTCTCTGTTTCCATCTTTCTAACATTTTATACGCTTGGAATAATTTTTTCCATAATTTTTAACTACCAATAATTTTTTGCATGACGATTTGAAGATTGAAAAGTTTTGTTGTGTTTCATGCCATTTTTGAATTTTGTATAATCAAGTTGCGAAGACATGTTGCCGAATCATGTTGCTCATTCATGTTGCCGAGCATGTTGTTCAATCATGCTGCACACAATCATGTTGCCCACCCATGTTGCAGTCATGTTGCGCAATAAAGTACAATCAATGTTGCACCGTAAACATGAAAATTAAAAAATGTCAGCGTAGATTAACAATGAAAGGCGAAAATCGTTTCAAGATGTTCTCCTGTGCGACTTCGCGGAAATGATTGTAACAAGTGCACACGTATTGAAAAGATTTGTTCATTTTTTAAACTGGTTTCCATTCTCCAAGTCAGTTATTTTGTTAAAAGCAAATTTCGACTTTAGTTTTTGTTCTTCTAATTAGTTGTTTACCTGTTCACATTAGCTGACCAAACTTTGCAATAATTAACATGAAATAATCTTCATTGATGACAAGCTCAGAAAACAACTTCTGATCACTTGGAGCACATCTGCCAAGTTATTTGGTCTTTTGGAGTCATTTTGTAACAATCCTTTGTCTAATTTATTTTTAACCTGGATTACTGTAATCTTTTACCAGGCTGTTATTGCATGTAGCATAATCTATTCCTGCTACATTTAATTTCCTATCAACAAATTTTCTTTAAAACATTAACAGAAATTTCAAATCCGCTTAGAATGATCATGAAGTTGAAGAATTTTATTGAAAAACCAGATTTTATTATTTTGATTGCATCGCGGTAAATTTTTTGGTGGCAAGACATATCTAAATAATTATTAAACTTTTTCATTTAATGCTTTAAATACAGTAAGATTAAATAAATAAACAAATAAATGAATGAATCAAATGATTAATTAATTAATTAAAGAATTAATTAACAAATGAATGAATAAATGAATGAATGAGTGTTAATAAATGAAGATTGCGTGCGTGTACAATTTGATAGATTTTGAACCGCTCCTAAAATCTTACGAAGTCACCAGGACAGAGGCGCGTTTAACTTCTATTGGTGATTTGTGGCAATCGTCAAATTTTAAAATATGCTTATTAATTAGTTAATTAATTAATTAACATCGTCGTCTATCATCACAAGCGATTCTGTGCATATGCATTGTTAAGGCTGTAGTAACCAACTTGATCATTCATCGTCGTTGTCATCGTCAGCAATGAAATAAATGCAGTAGTGACTTTATCAAGATTAAATGAAGCTAGAAGGATTTGAAGTGACGTAGTATTTGAAGGTCACACAAAAGGTCAAGTTCATGGTCGTTCGCGTGATTCATGTTGTTCAAGTTGCTCAGGTTGTTTGTGCTGTTCGTGTTGGTGTTGTTCACGTTCCTGTTGTTCACGTTCTTGTTGTTCATGTTTTTTACGTTGTTCATTTATGTTGCTGTCACATTGTTTGTGTGGTTGATGCTGCTATATTCTTTATGTTCTTTATGTTGTTCCTGTTGATCGTATCACGCCAGTTTATGCAGAGCACATGTACACAAAACACGATTTGATCGCTGCGGTAATGATTTGTTGGCTGCTGCTGCGCGTCTCACTTCTTCATTAATTTATATATTACTATAAAACATTGGAATAGATCCCCGTGTAAAAACTTTCATTGCTTTTGAACGCATTTAAAAAATTTTCTGCTTCTCAATTACATCGCGAGGAGAGGGAATATTTGTGCTTTCTAACTATTCATTTTCAAACACTTTGTTAACTATCTATATTTTCAATCATTCATGTGCAAAATTTTAAAGTTCCAAGTGGAATTGAATCGTATGGAAAAAAACTTCTATTAATATAATAATCCAATAATAAACACTAACCAAATCTGATAAAATATTTTTTAACTTTTCAACGACTTTCCGATCATCTTGTATGTCTTGCTGCATTAATTCATTCAAACAAGCGAATCTCTTCCCTATTTCGTCAGCCATCTTTAAATTCATCTTATCAAAATAATTCATCCCCCACTGTTTTGTGTCAGGAGGTAAAAATGAAGATGTTGTGTTGGTTGTTGTGTTGGTTGCTGTGCTGTAAATAACAGAAATGTTGTTGATAGTGGCGACCAAAGAAGAAGCGTCAATTGTGTTGTTGTTGTTGAAGTCTGCTGTGGTTGGTGGGTGACTGGTGCTGATCATTTGGCTGCTGATTCTGTTCATAAACTTCTTTGATTGCTTTTGTTGTACCTGTTTGAATTAAAAATAGAAATTAGTTTTTTATTATTTAAACGAAATTTTAGAAACAATTTTAAGAAACTGTTCAAGGGACGTATTTGGATATTTTGGAGTTCATATTTTTTGTATCAGCATCAAATTCAAATGGAAAGCAAAGGTTTTTATTTAAGGTAGATTTGCTACCATTATTATTTTAAAAAAATAAATTTTGTTTGTAATTCTTAAAAACAGAATCAATATGGACGTTAAAAAGATAAAAAGAAGAGATGTAATCAATGACTAATTATTATTAATATTGAACGTATATGAATAGCGAAGATGTCATTTAGTTGTTGTTACGAAGTGGTGTTTGCTGTAAGGGGAGGCTCTTTGTTGGCAGGGATGGCAGCAGCGTTGAAATGATGCTGATTGCATTACAGTTTCCGAAGTTATCCCGGCATAACCACGTTGTTGCTTCTTGCTTTTTCTGCAGGCTCTCGTAACAAGAAACTAACGAACAAACCGATGGTCCTTGAATTCAATGCAGAATTAAAATTCTTCGTTTAAGAAAGTAAAAAATGCTGTCAAATTAAGTCAAAAATTCATGGAACTAAAATTTTTATTTTTCAAGTTGAAATATTGAATGGTTTCAATAAATTAAAAGTACAAAATAACTTAAACCCGCGTTGATGATGATGATGATGATGATAATAATAGGCTGCATTATAATAACATTCGTGTCATATGGAGTATTATTACAATCTGCAATTTTGACTAGCGGTTGAATTATTTGTGAGAGTTAAATTTCGTAACATAAAAATCTAATGTAAATTATTAAATTTTCTTTTATTCAGTCCTATTGCGATTAAGATGAACGCAGTAGATTATAAATCAACATTTTAACGTGTTTATTCACAAAGTTTGATTCAAAAGACTTTCTCCTTCTTTACGCGACAGATTAATTTATTCATTCTCTCTATCATTCAATGCAAATTTGTTTTTGTAATTTCTGTACTCGACCTTGACCTTGCGACTTCTCCATTCATGCACTCCCACTCTCCCAACCTAACATCCATCCATTTTCCTCCTCCTCCTTCAATTATTCCATCCATCTTGCAGTGCAAGAGAGCGATAGGATTAGGAGAAAATTATTTTGCGTCTCAAAGAAAAATTAAAAAGTCATTCAGAGATCTGGCAAATGATTGACCGACTGCCTCGCGTACCATCTCATTTTATTGAAAAATCTACCTTCATCTTATTTTCTTTTTTTTATAATATTTTGATGGTTCCTGTTTAAAAAAATTTTTACGGTTGAAGTGGAACAAGTCACGTTATTTTTAGTTAGTGGATAGTTAGTGGATGCACAAGTATTAGAAATGGAAGAAATATTATGGGACGTATGAGATGGGCGAGATAGCCATCTGAGCAGTAGAACAGAATTTTTTTATCAAGCATTTATTTCTATAACCAAATTCAAACAGTGCTATGTTAGTTATAACAAAAATATTCAAAAATATGCTGCATTCCATATTTTATGGTACACGTATTTGTACGTACACACACGCAGGCACGCACTCCATATTACACACACACACACACACACACACACACACACACACACACACACACACACACACACACACACACACACACACAAACACACAAACAAAGACACACGCACACCACAAACACATGTATAAATCTAATTTATTTATGTCTATAATAATAAGATAATAAGATTATTTGTACACACATACAAATATATATATATATATATATGTATATATATATATATATATATATATATATGCACGTATATATAAATGTATATATGCATATGTAAATATAAATTTATATAACTTCATGCTTAAGTACCTTATTAATTGAGGTACTGAAATGAGATTTATTACATGCATGACGTTTAATGCATACATGTACAATAAAAATAATATTAATAATAATTAAGAATAATAGTAATAATTTTTATTGTCGGGAGTAATCAAAATCTAAATAATCCTCATTAATGTCGTCCTTTTATTGCTGTCGTCGTGACTGGTACTTCAGTTTTTAATGCAATCATTCAAACGTTCGCCGTTGCCCCTCTACTTCGTAACGAAGTTCCAAGAAAATGGAAGAAATATTTGAAAAAGTAAGTAAATAAATAAATAAATAAATAAATAAATAAATATATATATATATATATATATATCTCTATGTGTGTGTTTTTGTATGTTTTATGTGTGCGTGTGCGTGCGTGAGGTAAGCTAATATCCATGAAAGAAAAAAGAAAAGAACTAATGAAACACTTCTAGATGTTCGTGACAACATTTGTTATTACTGCAAATTAGAAAAACTTTTAAAAACACATGCAAGCCAGAGATGGACATCAAATTGCATCCACTGGCAGGAAATATCAACAGATCAGCAAACCTAACAACATGAAAACATCAAAAAAAAACATTTTGTTACTACATATGACGACTACAAAAGAAATGGACAAGCACAGCCCAACGCCATCAGCATAAAACAACGCTGTACAAAGCAGACAGAAACTTGTGGCACGAGAAACAGTAAAAGCAGCAGCAAATAAGAAAAACGTGGAAAATGTAAATAAGTTATCTGGAATCACGCCATCTCGTTTTCAACAGTGAATATTTTTTCATTCACGCACAAACAATCAAAACAGAAAGTTTTACATACAGCATACATGATTATACGCATAAAAACGTGCCTAATAAGAACTGAGACCATTTGTACACGGACTGCAAGCACGTACGTTGCCGTCATACGAATCTGAGCGCTTCTACTCAGCCCTCAATATAAAGAAATATATAAAAAACATTGCCAAACATTACTTAGATACTTAAATTAATAAAGTTTTTAATTGCTATAGAGAATGAATTAAAAAAACCGTAAAATAAATAAATGGTTAAGCAAATAAACTTTCAAAACAAAAAAATATCGTTATGCACGAAACAAAAAAATGGCGAAAATAAGAGCTTTAATTATGGACTCATAATTCTACTTACATCCATATTTATACACACACGTGTTAGGTCTATATTACATGGCCGGTTATGTACGAGGATTTATGTTCGTATATCAAAATAATTGTTACATACATAGACGTAAGGATGCAATATAATTATGGAAAGCCCGTAACAATGATATAATTATGCACGGATGCTAAGCACACAGCAGAAGTACAAACATGAGGAGCTTATTATGTTGAGGTCTTCCTACAAATAACCATTCCAACATATGTACGTACAGTTTAAGAGCATATATTATTTAACAAATTGTAATGCGTTTCGTACGGCTTGCTTTTTTTCAATTCAGTTTCAATATAATTTTTATATAGGTTCATTTCTCTCCCTCTTTTATTCTCTTCCTCTTTTTTCATGCTTTCTCACTAACTAAGCTGAAGACTGGCACGAGTGGCCGGGTCGGTGTTTATAGAATTTTAAAATATTGCTTCATTAAAAATATTACAAAAAATATTGGTTGGAAATGCAATTGAGAATTTATTAATGCCAAGAGTTATTCCGCGGAGCTCACAGTTGCACATTGCAATTTGAACCAAGCAATCAAGCAGCATGGTCTGAGCTTCCTCTTTCTTAAATTTTAGTGGCAATCATAAAAATTTGTCAATTGCCATTTTAAGCAATTAATAACAATTGGATATTTTTTTGAGAACATAAAAAGCATAGAATCAAAATACTTTATGAATGTTCCGTAACACGCGCTGTCCTGGCTTATGTTAAAATAAATGCAGCGGACCGATTCTTTGATACCGCGGAAACAACATGTACGTACATACATCGTGTTGTTGGCTGATTGGCTGATAGGTACGTGCATTTTTGTATGTTTCAAAATTTTCAATTGCTTAATTGTATCAACGACCTTTAAAAGTGCATTAGTGCGTAACGCATTAAAAACATTTTGCGAGATTTTTATTCAACGAACCCAAAATTTGGCATTTTTATCAATAGAACGTTATTTTCAAGAAGGTGGTACCTCTATAAATATGCATGCGAAAGTGGGATCATAAAATTTTTACTTCAATACTTAAACTAAAATTTATCTGTGAAACATCAAAATTTTGTTGTATTCACCTATAATGTTACGTTACATATTGGTTAATGCTGGTTGATAGTTCAGCCTTTTAAAAAAATTAACAAACAAAGGATGAGTTCATGAATATATGCAAGACATATTTTTATAATTTATTGGCAGTTGTTGCAATAACGAAGAACACGAGCCAAACCGTCGTTACATTTCCAATCCTTCAATGAACGCACGCACACAGAATTACATTAAATGAGGTGAATTAGCCGGAGTGACGTCAAAGTCAGCCTATGTCCACGTTTCAACTGCATGCATCAATGACTACATCCAATTAAAACGAAACTTAGGTTCAAAAATATGATGCACTATGCTGATTAGTTCTGCTGAACATAGTTTCTCCTGATGTATTTCTTATTCAATAGATTTATAAAAAAATTGTTATGCTGGTTCTCATTTAATGATGTGTTTCTACATTTCTACAATAATTGCGAAATAACTTGGCACGAGTGAGCACGCCTCCATGATAGCTGCCTCCATTTAAAACACGATTTTAAGAAGAACCTGCCTGTGACAAAACATCACACAGAATGAAAATTTCTTAGTTGACAAAAAATGACTGCAACTCTAACCGAACATTTGCACTTGTAGTGAAGTAAGGAATCAACAGTTCGGATTATGCACGAGCATTCAGCCTGTTGGAGTCTGTGCAACGTTTTTCAAACTCCGAGTTAGTGGTTGAGATTGCATTTAATTATGTTGCTCGAGTGATGAAGTTAATGAGTGGAATGATTGAACAGTGATGGATGATGACAATGATAAATTGAAAAGTTGGAAGGGCCGTTGCTGTAATTAATATATAAAAAATAGAAAATTTTGTGATATTGTGTTATTGATGTAATGCTGTAATGTAACCCTACCTTGCGTTTTAAACTTATCAGACTTAATTAATTTTGTATTTCCATACATCATTAGTCTATTACAACTGTTAAAACGTTTAGCGTGATGACGGCACGTTTTATCGGTGGTTTTGTAATTTGGGTGGCTTCTTATTTTTTGCTTCTAAAGTGAGTTCTCTTCTTTATTACTATGATTATTTTTTTCTATATCTTTTAAATATTATTATGTCTTATTCTAGAGACTTTTTCTTAAGCCTCTCTACTCCTTTGTCTCCGACAAGAATAGTTCGGCGGCGAATTTTTTACTTTAATTTAATCTTAGTGCTAATATTAATAATAAGTGCAATAAATCTAACTCTAATACGACAAACAAAAATTAAATATAGTTAGTAACAATAATTAAAATACTTATAGCAAGTATAATAAATTTAATAAATCCTAATTTAATGTAATTAATACTAATGATAAAAATAATAATTCTTTAAATAATATAACTAGATTTAAAAATACCAATATCAAACCTACCTCTACATTTTCACTACTCTCCCTCTCTTATTCTTGCTACTCCTGATGGTTACAGATTTCATGAACTCTCTAGACCTCTAAAAGATCTTTTTTCATCTTCTCATTCTTCTTATGGAGGTGTCTGTGTATTTTATAAATCTCTATTTACTGCTTTCATTAATACATAATTTAATTTTTCTTCTTTTGAATGTCTTGTTGTATTTCTTAATTTTTCTTCTCTATCTTTTTATATTGCTATAATCTATCTACCTCTTTTTCTTTTCTCTATTTCTCTATATATTTTTAGATGAATTTTACTCACTCGCTGAATCTCTCTACTCTTTTTCTATTCCTTTCTATATCTGGTGACTTCAACTTGCACTTTAATAACTTAACATGTTTTTACACCCGTAGATTTAATAATATTTTGTCTCTTTTTAACACACTATTGATTTTATTATAGCTTCATCTTTTTTTAAGCCTATTAATATCTCTGTTACCTCTGTTCCTTATTCTGATCACCTCCTTATTGAATCTGTATTTTCATTAGATTTTCTTCCATCAAATTCATCTATGTCTATTTTTAAAATCTTGCTGGTCTTCTCTTAATAAAGATATTTTTCTTCAATCTCTTACCGAAACTA